TGATCGGTCACCAATCCGGGTCGAGTTCCGAGTTTTACAAATCGGGCTTAACGGGTTCAACCTCATTCGTCAAAAATTGAATCAGAACGGTTCCGGGCCTAAGGGGCCGGGTCGGGTTTATGTTTTTTTGGTTTTGTTTTTTTTTTTTAATTTTTTTTTGTATTTTGTATAACTAAAGTAAAAATATAAAATAAAATAAAAACAATCTTATAAAAAGAGTGTTTGAATAAAGGATGCAAAGACTTTAAAATTCTTATATTTGAATATTTCATTAAGAATTTAATATAATAGAATACAATGAAGATGGAAAAAAAAGTGCACTTATAATTTGCAAGTTCAAACTTGCAAATTAAAGTTTACATTTAACAACAACTAAATTAATAAAAAAAGATTAAATTTAAAGTTTAATTATTAAATATAAATCTAGAACTTCAAAGGTTTTGCACTGCGTTAGTAAGTTCTTAATAATCAATATGATCTTCTTGGCCATCTTCTCGAGTGTTAAATTCAAAGGCTTTATAGTTTCATTTCAAATTTTCATTGAATAATAATACTTCAAATTAATCTAACAAACTAAAATATTAAGTACAATACGTCTAATAATTTTAAAATAACACAAATTGTCTCAAATCAATTTAAAATCTTAAATACGAATTTCTGGAGGACGCTCAAGACAACTCTTCATATGGCTCCTTATACAGCTTGTGCCCTCCCACTTTCGACGAAGATTTAAGATTCGATCATAGTTCTTGCACTTTAGTTTGCGAACTTCTTCATTTTCTTCTACCACCTCAAAGTGTTCCCAAACATATTAGCGCACTCTAGAATCACGAGGCATGATTTAACTTGAATTGAGAATTTGAGTTTGAGAAATGAGAGATGAGAGAAGAAATGAAGAAGAGGGGGTATTTATAGTTTTTCAAAGGGCTTAATTAGTAATTACTAAAAGTATTATTTTTTAAAATAATTGCCAAAAAGGGCTATTCTTGCAAAATATCTGTTGGGCAACGGTCAAATTGGAAGCTGACCGTTACCAACGGTCAAATAAATTTAAAAAAGAAAACCAGAAAATCACTGATGAACCGGGCTGGGCCGGGCGGTTAACCGGTTCAACAGTGATTTTCCTTGACCCGATTTGACCGATCCGGTTAACCGAATTTTTTTTTTATACAGATCAACCCCTAACCCAGCTCACCTGGCCTCCTAACTACCGGTCCGGGCTGGTCCGAAAACGGGTCAACCCGACCGGTTAAACAGGTTTATTGAAAACAAAGAGAGAAGAAAAAACTCCCGTCTTCTTCCTTTGCAAGAAGAAAGCGTCGAAAAAGCTAGCCAAAATCCCATCCCAAGCTCGATGAAAATCAGTTTCTTTTACCCCTTTTAACATCCAAACCCAACTCACAAGACAACCATAAAACAGAACAAAAGTAGACACTTTTCACCTCTATTTTTACCGATGAAACGAAGCTTCAGCTGAGGTCGATTGAGTTCTGGCGAAAGTTCGAGGTCGACAATGTGTGTCTTTCCGTTGAGGTCTCCTCCGCGATTCCATCTTGTTTTGGAGCAAATCATCAGTCAAAAAATCAAAAGTTGAAAGTTTAATATTAAGGTTCTTCCCTTTTCTCTGTTTATTAATTAGCACCTGGATTCCACTTTGTTTTTGCTTGAAAATGTTTTCTCCGTACATGTTTCCTCTCACTTAAATTTTCTTATATCTTGTTTGCATTAATTTTGTATCGGCTTTTCTTATCTTTCTTTTATAAAAAATGGGGGCGCAATTTAGTTTATTGCGTTAATACATTAGAGGGGTGTCTTTAATAAATATTAAGCAGTAGTAATTTGAGGCCAATTCTTGTCAAAATCAGTCATTTGGATTACAAACTTCTCATCTATGTTGTTAATTTAAAATCATTTAAGAAGTCCACGTCAGAATTAGGATGTAAATAGGTTAACGTTTTAAAGGAATTTTGTTTTAATATTTCTTTTTAGTATTTTATTCCTTAATTGATGTTTTGTTGCTTTGGTTCTATTTTTTAATTTCTTGTTTTATGAGTTAATATTATTTTAGTTTATTTAACCAAAGTTGAATATTATCCCTTAAGCATAGAAACGGTAATATGAAGAAGAAGAATTGGGCTAGCTGGTCTTTGGAGATAGTTGGAAATGAGTTCTTTCATGTGTTGGATCGTGGGGGTGACATCAAAAGAATTGGATCTGGGCCAAATGAATAAGCTGGCCCAAATATTAATAATGCTACAAGCTAGCCTACCTTTCCCATAAATGATTAACTTCATTTGCTCAATAATATTATCCATTATTGCATTACATTACAATAATCTCAAAATTAGTTTAGGAGAAATAAATCTTAATAATCGCTAGTATACTTTAGGCACGTATTAATAAATCAATTATGGTGATTATGTACACGATCATGTCCAAACACAACTCTAAATTTCAAATACAATTTTCACTCGAAAAACTTTTTCCCCCTATTTTGGAATATTACCATTCTTATGTCCAAACGTCCACTTAATTTCATTAAGTAGGAATTTATAAAACTTATCCGGATAATGAATGAACAGTAGTGTCAGCGTTAAAACTGGAACAAATGGCATTCTTTCTTTAGTGAACTGAAAAGTTGCTTTCTTTTCTAAACTGGAGATGGATTTGAAAGGCAATGCAAAATAAAGACTTGGGAGTTACAAACATTGTGCCAAACAGCAATAGCACTGCGAATATCAGGTTTTTGAAATGTCCTTTTTTCTCAATCATTTTTTCACCTTTAGATGAACTCCTGTTTCTTGTTTGTATACTACTTTCTAGATGTTGATTTTCTTGTATATGCACACACATTCAGTTATTGCCATTAATTCTAAGAGTTGTCAATAGCTTGAAATGCCCTTAATTTTTTTTATTTATCATTCTTTTTCACCTTTGGATGAGCATTAGTTTCTGTAGCAAAGGTTTTTTATCTTCTTTTTTTAGATGTTAGTTTTCTTGCATATTCGTGTTTGCTTCAGCTATAGATTCTATAACTATGCTAAGATGAACTTGTAATTTTGAGTAAGACTGGATTGTTTAGTTCACTTGTGCTTATACTTTCAAAGCAAGCTCAGAGCTTTTGCAGATTTTGTGAATAAAGCATTGATGTAAGGGATCTTGCCGTATAAAGAGTTAATTTACTCTTATTAAGAGGAGGATTCCCTTTTCTTTTCTTCGTACAGTTGTGGCATGATTAGAGAACCTCTGGATGTGTTGTTATTATATTGATCGTTAAATGAATACATGTCTTGTTATTACTTTTGAATAGAAGGGACATCGATTGTAAGTATTTACTGATAGAGATTCTAAAAATGAATTGACTATATTTGGACCATTTCTCGATTTGTGCATGTCATCGTTGTTCGCTAATCTTCTCCATTCTTATTTTATCGGATGTCCCCAAAGGAACGAATTGACTATATTTGAATGCATTGGTTGACTTGAATTTTCATTCTCAGGAAAATGTCTTCGAAAGGTGTCAAAAGAAAACGAACAGGTGCTGATGAAGAATGAAGATATAATCAGATCAGCAACTTGCCACGAAATGTGATAGCTTGCATCCTAGGGAAAATGCCTATACGTGAAGCAGTAAGAACCATCGTTTTGTCTAAAAAGTGGATATATTACTATTTAAACATTCCACAGTTAGTATTTGATGATCAGTTTTGCAAAGAACTTGATGACTACTTTGTGAAGAAAAGAATAAAAATTTATAAGCTCAAGTATTATCAATTCGACGAAATTATAACCAAATCTCTTCTGCTTCATCCTGGTGGATTAGAGAGATTTAAAGTATGCATTCCTTTTAATCCTTCAACGGTGGTTCCTTATGTAAACAAATGGATACTATATTTATCTTTCAAAAACATCAAGGAATTAACCTTAATTTACGAGAAGGTTTATACGCATCATCATCATACGTTGCCTCCTTCATTCTTCTCTTGTCTGCACTTGACATCATTGAAGCTTATTAATTTTGTTCTTTCGCCGCCACCAGAGTTTAAAGGCTTCCCTAATCTCCGCTATTTAATACTTTCTGGGGTTGACTTTACAAACAACTGTTTTAAAAGTTTTATTTCCAGCTGCCCCGTTCTTAAAAGACTAGTGTTGTATGGGTGCTCTGGCATCCGTCATTTTAATATCGTTGGTCCTAAACTGAAGAGGAAGTCGATGACGAGTTCAAATCAATCTCCTTGGAGAATGCTCCTATATTGTCTAAAGTTTCTGTTTCTCAGCCTCTGATTTAGTTATGTTTGTGGGTAGCTTGACTAATATCAAAATACTTCGTATTGATGGCAAGTTTCTACAGGTATATTTTTATTGCTATTGATGATGTTTGTATTTTGCCTTCACAACTAACATTCCAGCTTTCAAGATTCTTGTTTTTTAAGTTGATCTGATTAATTTGTGCTTTCATTTTTCCCACATTATTGTTTCAGCTCCTGGCTGAAACTCCATTTCCGCCTATGCTTTCGACATCACCAGACTCTAAAGATTCTTAAACTCAAAGATGTAAACTTTATGGACTTCAATCAAATATCTGCTGTTGTTTGCTTGCTTAGAAGTGCCCCGAATTTGCAAGAACTTTATATTGAGGTAAGTTGTGGTCTAATTCATGATCTGTTGTTTTGGAAACAAATAAGGAGTTGTTAAGTTTCTGCTCTATTTTTGCGTAGGCTTCTACGGTCAAGCTAAACCAGAAACTAGTGTCAGATTATCTAAAACACCTCAACTACACAAATTTTCCCCTTAGCAAACTTCGTCTGGTCAAGTTAACGAATATCTCAGGATTTGATCCTGAGTTTGAGTTTATCCAGTTCCTCTCTTTAGCTCGATATCACTTGTGACAATGAGCATCCGGGAGCACCCACAGCTCGGAAGCTGCTCCAGTTTTGGCCACCATCAGCAGTGTCTATAAATTTCTTGAGGAAGTAAAGCACAAGTATTATAATGTGAGTTTCAAGTAACTGGATTGTTATAGCTTCACTTGCATTTTGCAGTTCCCTCGTCTGTTTGCAGATAAAGTGGGAACTAAATGTTTCTTTTTGTAATGATCCTGGTAACAGTACTCAGGTGCAGACAACACAAATTAAAGGATCAAACTACCCTGTACTGATGCATTATAGATGGAGTAATATTTATAAATAGTTTTCTATTGGACCAAAAAAAGATAGTGTTGTAGTTTTGTAATGCTGGAAATCAAATATGTAGAGATATGTAAGGAAGACACTCACAGGCGGATGTAGTAAGTAACTAACGGTTGAACTGAACACATAACTTTTGACGCGGTACAAAAATTTATATGTAAAAATTCATTTAAATTGCAAAAATAATGAATATGAACTCATAACTTTAAAAATATAATGAGTTCAATGCTAAAAACTTAAAAGTTTGAACTCATAAGATTTAAATCCTGGATCCGCAAGACACTAGATGTTATTTCTCCCGGTGGTGACAAACATGGACGGAGCTAGGGATGCAGAAGGGTTCGTCCGAACCCAATTTACTAAAATATTACATTGTGTACATCAGATCAAATTTTCCTTTTACTATATATATTTTATAATTTTTTGCGTGCTTACTTTTTTTCTTGCTTGAATTTCCTTGGCGAAAATAGTACATCCTCCACCAGTGACAAATAATGCAAATGTTATTGTTTTAGTGAATGATCTGAATCCAATAATTTTTTAATATTTAATGTGCATATGGTTACAAAACGACCACACTAGAACACGTTTCCCCTGCAAATTGAAACTAACTTTTCACTTCAATGTCGGAGTACTAACTTTGCTCTCTCTCTCTCTGGGGTCATATCATCTCCGTTCCCTTTAAACATTTGGAGTAAATTTCACCGGCGATTATTTAATTTTTATCCATCTTTGATCTTGGATGGTAAGCTTAATACCTGCTTTTCCTCATCGGTTTTTTCTTCTTTTTTCTTTTAATTGTTTCATTCTCTTCTCTAAGATGTTAGTTTTAGAAACAAAGGCTCTTGTCTTCTTTTTGATGTTAGTATTGGAAGCAAAGGCTCTATTTTCATTTTTCCAGTAATTGCAATTGGGGTTTAGTGCAGCAATGTAGAGACGTTATTTTTCATTTTCCGTTGTATTTACAAATTGCCAGTGAAGGTTAGGGTTATGCAAATTTTGGGGAAATAAGGTATTAAGCTTATTTAGGTTACTAGTTTGATGTCAAATCTAACCTAAGCTTAAATTGTTTAAATTAACCAATTATTGGACATTTTTTTATGTCTCCTTATTGTGTAGCTTTGGATGGTGGTTTGATAAGCTTAATAGGAACAATAGGCAATGTGATTCTAGGTTCTATTTTTCCTCATCTTTCTACTCTTGTTTATTTTGTACAGGTTCTTATTGACTATTATTGTTATATAGAGACGTGATTTTTCATTTTCCGTTGTATTTACAAATTGCCAGTTATGCAAATTTTGGGGGAAAATGGTATTAAGCTTATTTAGCTACTAGTTTGATGTCAAATCTAGCCTAAGCTTAAATAGCTATTTTTCTGAGTTTAAATTAACCAATTATTGGTCCTTTTTTGATGTCTCCTTATTGTGTACCTTTCGATGTCAGTTTGATAATAGAAGCAATTGGAAATGTGGTTCTCGGTTCTATTTTTCCTCATCTTTGTACTCTTGTTTATTTTGTGCAGGTTCTTATTGACGATTATTGTTATATAGAGACATGATTTTTCATTTTCCATTGTATTTGCAAATTGCCAGTGAAGGTTAGGGTTGTGCAAATTTTGGGGGAAAAAAGTATTAAGCTTATTTAGGCTACTAGTTTGATGTCAAATCTAGCCTAAGCTTAAATAGCTAATTTTCTTCTAAATTTAAATTTACCAATTATTGGATCTTTTCTGATGTATCCTTATTGTGTAGCTTTCGATGTCAGTTTGATAAGCTTAATAGAAGCAATAGGAAATGTGGTTCTCGGTTCTATTCTTCCTCATCTTTGTACTCTTGTTTATTTTGTACAGGTTCTTATTGACGATTATTGTTATATAGATACATGAGTTTTCATTTTCCGTTGTATTTTCAAATTGCCAGTGAAAGTTAGGTTTATGCAAATTTTGGGGAAAAATAGGTATTAAGCTTATTTACGCTACTAATTTGATGTCAACTCTAGCCTAAGCTTGAATAGCTAATTTTCTAAGTTTAAATTAACCAATTATTGGACCTTTTTTGATGTCTCCTTATTGTGTAGCTTTCGATGTCAGTTTGATAAGCTTAATAGAAGTAATAGTAAATGTAGTTCTAGGTTCTATTTTTCCTCATTTTGTACTCTTTGTTTATTTTGTGCAGGTTCTTACTGGCGAAAATTTATTATATGATGTATCCTACGGGCAGAAGGCAGTATCGCTATCGAACTTTACCTCCTGATATACTTAGCAACCTTCCTCAGAAAGTAATTGATGAAATTCTTATTTGTTTGCCTTTGCGAGATGCTGTGAGGACTAGCATCTTGTCGAAGAAATGGAGATATATATGGCGTAGACTTCCACAATTGACGCTTGAGCACACACTTTGGAAAAAAAGAGAGGATATAACGGACCTTACAAGAAACTTTTCAGAGATTGTCAGGCACATTTATTGCTATCATGCAGGACCAATTAAAAAATTTACCCTCTGCATTCCTTATTTGGATTTGGACCGCCGCTGTCCTTATATTGACAGATTGATAAGTTTCCTCAGTAGAAATGGCATTCAACATCTTGTTCTTAGACTTCCAATCAGGGGTAACTCGTATGAATTGCCGCCATTGTTTTTCACATGTTTCCAGTTGAGGCATCTGACTCTCTATAATTGCTCAATGAATCATCCACCACACTTCAAAGGGTTTGATTGGTTAACTAGCCTAGAACTACATGATGTTACAATATCTTCCAAGTTGCTTGAACGATTAATCTCTCGTTCCCCGTTGCTTGAGCAGTTCGTGCTGCATATCTCAGGTGCTTTAAGCAACGTCATTGAAATTAGTGCTCCCATGCTGAGATCCTTTGACTACACAGGCAATATAAGCTCTGTCTTGTTAAAAAATGTTCCTCTTCTGGCAAAATTTTCACTTTCGCAAAGGGAATATCATGTGGCAGCAGGAAAATGTAATATCGCCATGTTTTTTGAGTCTTTTTCTGCTCTCGAGCATCTCCACTTGAATGACATGGTAAATGTTGCTTCATGCCTTCATTGTGATGCATTTTCAATCATGGAACATCTTTTGGGTATCGAGTCATTTTAACTTTTGGCTCTTTCTAGTCCTTTGTTGCAGGAGCTGGTGAAATACCAACAAGGCTTCCGTTTAACCTTAACTATGTCAAACACGTATGTATATCTAGTATTTATCTGTCTGACTTGGATGAGGTTTCATGTGCTCTTTGCTTGATAAGAAGCTTCCCATATTTACAGTATATGGAAATGAAGGTTCTCTTTTCTCTCTTTTTATGTAGTGGATTTCTTATTTTCATGCTCCTTAAATCATCAATAAGCTCAGAGAGTTAACTTTTGGTTCATCTTTCTTAGGTGGAGGCTAGTGACGACAATGATATACTGGCTCTTGAATCTCTTGAAGTGGAACGCTTCTCAGATGTGACATTTAATCACCTCAGGGAAGTTAAGCTAATACAAACTAACGGCACAATCCCTGAAATGCAGCTTATGAAGCTTCTGTTGGCCAAGTCACCCAGGCTTGTGAGAATGCTAATCGAGCCATGTCTCGTTGAAGAATCTGCAACAGTCAAAATACTTGCTGAGCTAACAAAACTTAAGCGGGCATCACCTAAAGCTGAAGTTGTATATAAGTTGGATAAGCATCCAAATCTCGGTCCTGTCTGATCTTCACAGGTCTTTTGTCAGACTGTGACCCTTTTGAACAAATGTTTTGGAATTTGATGTGAATTGATAGAACCAAATTTTGATGCACTAGTATAACGCTGTGTTTTGCCTAATTGCCATAACATTGAGAGATGTCTAAACATCAGTTTGGGGATATAAATGAATGTGGATATGGTTTCTCAACTTTGTCATTACTGTGCTTTATGCTTCTACTTTACATGCATGTGCTTGATATGAGATTTGCAACAAGAGTTGCTACTGCGGTTGTTTATTTCATACTTCAAAGTATGGCTGTCCAACGGGACGGGATGGGACGGGACAGAATTAACGGGACGGGATAGGACGGGACAGAATTAACGGGACGGGATGGGACGACATTTAGCCGGAACGGTGGCGGGACGGGATAAACGGGATGAAACGGTAGGCCCATCCCGTCCCGCTAACAAA